TTTCTGTTTTTGTCGTAAGATTGTAAACGGAACAAATGCAATGCGAGTAACGATAAAACTGCATGCCGTTTTATTTTCATCAAAATGATAAGCAGCTAGTCGTCGTCCTTTGCCTATGGCTTTCGAAATGTGTGGTTTGGACTCATTGGTTCAAGTGATTAACACCACACGTCCGACATTAAATATATGGCATATCCATAGTAGATAAGTGAAGTGTACATAATGTGTACACTAGGGTGGTCCAAAATAAGTAAAGTCGGAACTTCAATGCTCTCACCTCCTAGGATTGTTCTATAACGGAAAAATTATACCCCCCTTTTTTATTTTAAAATCAAAAAACATTTATTTTTTATTTAAAATATTTTATATGGGGAAAAAACAACTTTCCGTAGAAATGGTATGGATTGCTTTAGAATCAATATATTTCTATGGGAATCTCTAGTTCTTTTCAGGAGACAACAGTAGTAACAGTAACAATATCCAATTGTTTTTTTGACCATTTTTGAATACTAAAGATTTTTTATTTAATCCCCCACTGCATTTTCTGGCATTTTCTGGAGGTTTTGGCAGAACTATAAAATACAGTTACTATGAAATGGTTAAATAAATTGAGGGTTGAGAGCATAAACATTCCGACTTAACTTTTTCACATGCATTTTCGGACCACCCTAATGTACATATATCTTCTTACAATACTAATTTGCTTAATAAGTTTTATTTATAAGCCCAGTGGTTTATGCATAATATTGAGTACATACCCAAATGTTATACGCAGAAAATAATCGCTTCCAGGTGTAATACGCTTTATACATCGTGAAAATAAGGAATTAATGCTACTGAAAAAATATTCTTAAAAATAAACTGCGGCCAATCTTGTCTTATTGTTGCCGGAAACTCTTCGTCGTAATCTGTGACCCGGTATGGCCCGTAGGACTGTCCCATGTGCCGGATCCACAAAATTAGCGAGGTACTCACCGGTTATTGTCCCTTCAACTCCATATCCCGGTAGCCGTATTCTTCCACAGTATTCGCTGTACCCAGCGCGCATTTTTCTACTGTCTGCCACAAAAATCATTCTCCGGCCGGTTTGCCGTCTTCCCCAGTTTCTATTCCCTTTTTGAAATAGCCCTATTGTTTATATATGAAGCTGCAACGATAACGATTAAGGAACAAGGGGCACATATTTTCTTATTTAAAATAAATGTTTGAAAAATTAAGGAAAAAATGCCCACTTATAAAAAGAAAAAAAAAAAAACAATTTCAGAAAAATTTTTATTGGAAGAAAAATGTAACGAAACTGAAAGTATTCAGATAAAAGAATAATTTTCTTCTCAAGCTGCAACTAGTGAAATAATAATTCTTTTAATAACTTTCAATAAACAGATCTGCTATACTAATATTTTTTTGCAATTCCATTTGCAGATAATAAACCAAACACTGGTGAAGTTCAGTTATCTGCTTCAGAACCTTTAGCCAATGGCAAACCTACGGAGGATAGCATCTCTGAGGCTCAAACAGTGTCTGAAATTTCAGCGGAACCAAAAAGTTTACCTCCTTTGAGCCTAAACGGAAAGGACAAAAAGGAAACGGAAACAGAGCAAAGCATCGAACCACTGTCAAATGTTTCGGAAGCAGAGGGACAAGTTAAGGTAAGACATTTACGGTATATTTTGCGAATTACAGAGTGTTTACATAGGACTTTGAAAAAATTAAGCTTTGTATCGGGGATGAGACTATTACGTTTTTTTTTTATAAAAAACAAAATATTTTATTATAGGGCAAAATTAATATTTACATACAAAAAAACGAACCGTTAATGATTGCTGTTTAATGACTCAGTATAGATTTTTCTTTCCGCGACAAAAAATCACGTAATAAAGCCCAATCAAAACTATGTAGACAATGCAAATAGTAACATAAAGACTTTATCATAAAATCAATATCCGCTAGACATCACGTCCTGTTAATTGCCATATAACATTAAAGTATTTTGATTGCTTTGATTGTAAAAATAATTGATTTTATTTTTAGAAACTTCCTTATCCAAAATCGGTCTTCTTTATCATCAGCAATGAGTTTTGCGAACGCTTCAACTACTATGGCATGCGCAGTAAGTGTGACTCAATATAAAAAATTTAAAACAAGTGCTTTTTTTTAATTACATTTGTACTTCCGCAGCCATTCTCGTCTTGTACCTGACCCGTCAGCTCCTCTATAGCGATGACAACGCCACCGTAATCTTCCACATCTTTACCATGTTCGTTTACTTCCTATGCGTTGTGGGTGCTATCATCTCCGATAGTTGGCTTGGAAAATTCAAAACGATCTTTTATCTCTCACTTGTTTATGTCACCGGTTCAGTATTGGTTTCTCTCGGTGCAGTGCCTACGTTGAATTTGCCCGCCAACACGTTTACAATGATCGGTTTGGCGTTAATAGCGCTGGGCTCGGGCGGCATAAAACCGTGCGTTTCCGCCTTTGGCGGTGACCAGTTCAAGATACCCGAACAAGTGCAGCAAATTACGACATTCTTCTCGCTCTTCTACTTTTCAATCAATGCTGGCTCATTGGTTTCGACAACAGTAACACCAATTCTGCGTGAAGATGTTCATTGCTTTGGCGAAAAGGAATGTTATTCATTGGCTTTTGGCGTACCGGCTATCCTAATGGCTGTCTCGATAGGTGAGTACTTTGGCATTAAAGAGATATATTTAATAATCTAACCGAAATTATGCTCATATTCATATTTTCTAGTTATTTTCGTACTTGGTCGCCCATTGTATAAAATTAAACCACCAGCGGGCAATATGGTGGTGTTGGTCAGCAAAACTATTGGTGTAGGTAGACTGAAAAGCTAAACAAGTTGAAAATAGTACTAAAAAGATTATTCCAAATAGAACGCCATTGCTACAAAATGGAAGGAGAAGAAGACCAATCCCCGTGAGCACTGGTTGGACTATGCGGATAAGAAGTATGACCGTCAATTAATTGAAGATGTGAAAGTGCTGATGCGTGTTTTGGTACTCTATCTGCCGCTGCCTGTCTTCTGGGCACTTTTCGATCAGCAGGGCTCACGCTGGACTATCCAGGCAACCCGGATGGATGGCGACATGGGCTCATGGGACATCAAACCCGATCAAATGCAAATGATAAATCCCTTCCTTATTTTAGCATTCATTCCACTTTATGAACTTGCATTCTATCCTTTACTCGGTATGGTCGGTATTCGTCGTCCTTTACAAAAGCTGACTTTGGGTGGAATATTCGCCAGTATAGCTTTCATTGCTTCCGGCTTGGTCGAACTGCAATTAGAGGTGAGTCAACTGCCATCTAAGTGTCGCACAGTGCGGTCGAAATTCTAAGATTTAAAGAAATGATTTCGTACTAGGGGGTTTTCCGAATCCGCTGTCAGAAGTGCAAAATTCGAAATGACGGATCCAGTAAGGTGTCTCGTAAATTTCGGACTTTTTAATTAGAATTCTTAGAAAGATTTTGAGTATCCAGTTTTATAGCCCAGTTTTATAGTCAATTTTAGTGTCACAAAGTGCAAGTTTGAAGTAGCTAGGACTTACCGTTGATTTTTTGAGTTTTTTTTTGTTATTTTCTTGCATACGATGATATCAGGAAAATGAGCCCTCCTCAACCCTTGACGAAAAAATTTCCAAAAATCAACCGTAAGTCAAAGCTTCTTTAAACTTGCACTTTATTACACTACAAGTAATTTTTAAGCAAAAAACCAAACCGACTTCAATTCTCATATAAAAAAAAAATATATATATATATATTTCATGATCCAATGATCGGATGTAAACCAGATTAGTATGAGATCACCTATGAGACACTGCTTTTCGGATGCAAATTATCGAAATCGGTTGACGTGGTCCAAAGTTATGCGGTAATGAGTAGAAATGAGCATCTGAGTTTTATTTTATTCTATAGCTAATACTTTTCTAAGTAAACTCCAATAGGTTTAAAAGCAGCATCCAACAGTGTGTTGTTACTGTTGCATTTAACAACTCAAGTTTTGTTTAAAAATAAACGAAAAAAATACCTTTACATTTTTATTTCTTAAAAATTCCTGCTACAGTATTTCTTTTCACAAATTTTGTAACGTATTTTACTAACCTTCAGTTTGTGTTTTTTTGGTTTCCTATTCTCTAACTACTTTTATACGTTAATAACTTTTCGCTTTTTATTACAATAATGTTGTGCTTGGGAGAAGGTCACACTAGAAATGAATAAAAAGAGAGGGATTAGGGTATAGGTACGGTGACCATAAATATATTTTGAAAGTTCAGGACAATTTTTAAAAAAATTTACATACATATAAATTGGTAGTATAAAAATATCAAACATATACTACATATATATGTACATTCCTCGTCATTTGAATAGCGCACCCTTTTTTGATTTTCTACCATGCTTGACAAAATTTTTTTATGGAAAAAATGCGCAGCACCGTCAAAAAAAAAAATGTCGCCCCTGTTTATTTTTTATAATTTTCAAAAATTTTTAAAATGGGATGTAGACGTAGAATATGCTATATTTTTTATAAAAAGTTAATGAATATTAAACAAACAAAAGGAAAACTGTACCTACTAAGTATTAAAAGGATGCGCTATTCAAATAATTATCTTATTCTTAATTATTAATCCAATTTTAAACTTTAAACATAAATCCAATTTGCCTCATTGGTATTCATCTTTTAGTAATGAATATTTACAAAATTATAATGAGGCATATTACATATTACTTTACACGAAATATGAACCTCTGCAAAGTAAATTTTTTAAGCAAACTTTGGGTCGTTGAACACAAAAAAAATGCCCATGGTTTCAAAGAAGTCTTTTCGAGATTTGTTCGAAGAACGTATTTTTAGTACTTTTTCAGTTATTCCTCAATATCTCATGAAACGACCAACAGTTCAAAAGGTCTTGGTGGGCTCTTTGCAAAAATATATATTTTTTGTGCAGATTGTGTTCCGTAACATCCCATCAGTTTTTTATTTACTGTAAAAAGAAAATGATTGAAATTTCAATTTTTCGATTTTGGTCGCTTGTAACACTAATAATTTTCATCGAAATCGGCGAAGTAATATATTTTTGTAAGAGCTACTTATGTCGATTGGATAATTTTTTCATGAGATATTGATGAATAGGTTCGAAATGTACCAAAAACACGTTCTTCGAAAAAATTACGAAAACGCTTGTTTGAAAGTAAAATTGGCTTGGAAAATATTTTTTTCTTAAGCGATTACAATATATAGAACGCATTGACTAGTTGAACCTTCAAAACCAGCTTACCCTTATGTAGTTACCAATTAGTTATCGACACTGCTTTTATTTCGATTAGGAAAAGTTAATTTTAAGATATCGAAGAAAATGCGGGACAAAGGAAGGACACTAAGAAAAATCAGTACATTTTGGGGGTTTTCTGTTTTGAAAAACTACGCAGGACAGACCTTTAAATAACAGTACGGTCCTGCAAAAAACGGAACGGATGGTCACTGTAGGTATAGGTCGTTACAGTGAACAGTTTTCGCTTCTTAGGTGATCCCTTTAGACAACTCAATGTCAAAAAAGGCCTATCTAGAAACTTTATTTTCTCGAATTTTGGTCGCACTTTTGGATTTCGGCCGCACTGTGTGGCGTGGTAATAACAGAGAAGAGTTAACTCACATTCGCAATTTAACTCTCGATATTCATTATCTCAAGGTCTTAAGGGCGCAGCTAACCTTCAACTTTTGTAGTGAAAATAAGAATGTATCTCCAGAATTTTTGTTATGTCCCCACTCTAAATACAGCCTTTAGTGTTCAGAAGAAAAATAATACAACATTTTCATTTGCAGAAAACTTACCCGGTCTTGCCCAGCGCAGGAAATGCTCAACTTCGTGTTTACAATGGCGAATTATGCGACTATTCCATTACCACCAATTTGACGAATTTCAACTTTGATGTGGCCTCACTCAATATGTACAAGAACAGCACAGACATCGGCTCCGAAGGTTTCCTATACGTAAGATTCGATGTTACCAGCAAAAGTGCGAGTTGTGATTCATTCGCCAGCCAAACTTTTATTTTCAACTCCTCAACCAGCCATTATTTGTTTTTGAACTCAAAAAACACTGCACAACCTCTAGTCTGGGGAGAGGACACAATCAGTAAACCCAGTCGGGGCTATCCGTTAGGAAGGACATTAGCGAATGTAGAGCCGACTCGCCAAATTGATTGGAAAAATAAAAGAGGTACGATTGAGCACACCGAGCCAGCCAACTTGGGCAACATAACGGAACTAAAGTCGGGCACCTATCAAATATTAGTTGATAATGAGGAGATTGTCAGTACATACCTCAAAGTTGGTGGCATTTACACGATTTTAATAAACGAAGATTCATCAGGCCAATACCGCAATAATGTCATAGTTGTAACGGAGCCCAATTCGATGTCCATTTTCTGGTTGATTCCGCAATACGTTATTATGACACTCGGTGAGGTGATGTTCTCCGTGACTGGCCTGGAGTTTTCATATGCACAGGCGCCACTGACAATGAAATCAGTATTGCAAGCTTGCTGGCTACTTACGGTGGCATTCGGAAATGTAATCGTGATAATTATCGCCGAACTATCGCTCTTCGATTCACAAGCGTATGAGTTCTTCCTCTTTGCCGGTCTTATGTTTATTGATATGATTGTTTTCATGTTTGTGGCTTATCGGTACAAACCGAACACTTTGGCGCTGAATAGTGAAACTGAGCCGCTGACGCCACCAGAAAAAAATGAAAAGGATGGCATTGATAATGTGGCCAAAGCGATTGATGAGTAGATACGATGGGGAAAAAAGAAGATTGATTTGTAGTCAAATGTACAAATAAGTGTGTAATTTGTAGTGAACATTAATGTTAATTAATAATGTTTTGTACTTAATCAGTTCGTAAGTTTAAGTACCATAATTAATAAAAAAGTATTACAATAACTACCGTAAACCTAAACAATAAATGAAGTGTATAAATAAATGATATACTTTTGGTAAAAGAAGCTGAGGTAAAGTTGTTGAAAAATTGTAGTTATGTGCTCATACATACATCCTTCTATACCTTAATATAGAGAGACCCGATCTCACATCGTCGCACAGTGGTCTGAATGGATAACACTGTGCTATACTAAAAAAATACCTGGGAAGTTATGCATATTTTCTGTTAGGTCTTTTCGGTTGATTGCAATAAGGACCGCGGAAATAACGCCCATTGGCTTTATTTCCCAAAAACAAGATATAAAGCCCATGGGCATTATTTCCGGTGACAGGTAACAAGATCAACGGAAATAAGCTCAATTGACCTTATTTCCCACCCTGGTGCGAAATAAAGCCAATTGACCTTATTTCCGTTGGTCTTATTACCTGTCACCGTTATTTCTATTTCGAAGGGAAAATAGCGCCCACCAATAAAAGGCAATAAAGCCCGCGGGCTCTATTTCCTTTGAGAAAGAGCAATAATGGCAGCGGGATTTACTTCCAAAACAAAAGGAAATAACGCCCGCTTGATTTATTTCATAAAAAGTAAATAAAGTCCGTGAGTACTATATTCTCTGGCTTTATTTAACTGAAACATTCCAATTATGTATACAGTAAGCTGACCAACCGTCCTCCTTTGAGGAGGATTTTCCTCCTCAAATGTGATATGTCCTCCTCAAAAATATTGTCCTTCTCTGTCCTCCTTTTGAGCAAAAATGTCCTCCTTGTCCTCCTTTTCAAGTATAAAACTTGATGCAGTGATGATACTTTCAAAAATTTTCGTTGAGTATATTATTACATATTTCCTGATCGTACACAATCATTATATTTAAAAAGGGTTATCATTGTTCAACTCTTAGTTAAATGATGTAAACTTTTGATTCAACAACCGCCTGTGTAAATTGAACAGTGTAAACGCCTTTTAATCAATAATATTTAATACGGCTTTCTTACGGCACTCCAATTACGTAGTTCGCTCTCTCATACACAACTCGCACTCCAATTACCATGTGAATTACGAACAAATCGCTGTCGTGTCTAATTTTTATAGGAAATTTATCGAAACCAGTTCACGAATCAAAACTGGAACTTTTTCTGAGTACCTAAAGTATAGTTTTACATGTTTACATCACCAATTTAATACGGAAGCTTATAAATTGAAAGCAATAACTTACATTTTGCATACAGTTTGTAGCGAAGAAAAAAAACAAAACACAGAGATAGAGAATTGTCAAATCGAATTAAGAATATGCCCGTGGGAATGGGGGAATTCGCGATCGTAATTGGAGGAGCCTACAAAGTAATTCACGGTGGCGGGGGGAAACCCTATTACGACGCGTCTTCACAGGCCAAAATCATTGCCTACCATATGTCATTTTGTTTGCCAAATGTGTATAAGTATTATCAGTGGCAATCCTTGTGTGTGGGGAGTTTTTATCTTGATAAAATCATTTGGAAGATGGCTTAAAGCAAGTATGTTCGTTGCATTGGAGCGCAAATATGCTTACAATTTTTTAAGAAAATGTATTATTTCGCGTCCAATAATCAAAAATAGCACAGGCCTAGCGGCGGATCCTCACCCTTTTTTTTGGGGGGTGTTTTCCGGAAAAGTTTGCCACTTATACTTATTACTTTGAACGAGTAATTATTGTGTATATATATATTAGGGTGATACAAAATAACTAACCTAGCGAATTTAAAAATAACCTATTTACTGAGAAGGAAATTCTAACATTTAGAAAAATTTGTATTTAAATTTTAAAAGTGTCCATTTGAAATTTTATATGTAAATAACATGTAAAAAAATTGTTTTCATTTGAAATGTCATAACTTTTAAACCGTTAAAAATGGTTATAAAAAGGGATATACGTTTTTTTCTGGGCATATTCTCGTAGGGCATTAAATTCTCTAAAAAATGGCCCTGAAGTTGATTGTCTTAGAGACGATAAGGAGTATTAAATATGTTAATGATATTACTGAACGAGATATAGCGTTGATACAAAATTATAGTCAAACTTTGACGAAATACGAAGAACAAGCAACTTCTTTTACAAGTAATATAATAACAATTAAATAATTTAAAAAGAAATAGTCCAAACTTGTTAATATGTGGCGGTCTTATAATTATCCAACACAGTGTACTATTAAATTGTTGGAATTGTGTTTAGAGAAACTTTGGATTGTTAATTTATTCGTTATTTATTTTAGATAAATATATTTTTTTTTTTGTGTTTTCAATGTGGAGAATTTGTCCTCCTGGAATATGAAAAAATTCTGGTCACCTTAGTATACAGGCATACATTTGCGTAAAATGGAACGTATTTTATTTCTATTTTTGCATAGAGTGCAGTTCTGCGCTAACTTCCCTTCTGCGGTATACGCATAAAATCGAACAGTATTTTTGCCAATAACTGATAAGCGAATTATTGGAAATTAAAGATGAATTGTTACTTTTTCTAGCCTTCAATGCGATGCGCATATTTGTTCTCAGCGTATTAGATTTTTTGGCGCAAAGGCCATGTGTACATGTGTATGTATATCGCATATTTCTTTCGCGCCTAGGAACTACACGCACTGAGTTTTTTTTTTAGGGTTAGAGGGGTGCCCGGCCCATATTTAGTACCGGTCCGGACGATAATAAATATTTGATCAAATAAAATAACTAATAAAAGAATAGCTATAGGCTAACAAGTGTTTATAGTTAATTTTTTTGAAAGCAGATAAAAGTTGGCCGTTATAAGTGGACCAAAAGTTGGCTATTGTAGTAGATGACCTACGAATTCCCCACATGGTATATGTACATGTATATACACATCGAGCCCTAACCGCCAAAACAACGTAAGCGACATTTTTTTCAAAATTTTTGTTTTGATGCAGAAATGCATCTAGATGCTCTAGGAATATTTCTGCATCAAAAAGTAACTTTTGGAAAAAAATGTCACTTACGTTATTGGTGGTTAGGGCTCCTTGTTTAAAAAATTACTCATATACAGTCTTATTTACACTATACTTCAATGCGAAAATGTCGGCTGAAAATCGAAAAAGTTACCGTTTTTGAAGTCGATTTTGAACTTCACGTATTATCGTTGGCGAGACTCAAAAATTAAATTTGCCAAAATTGTCCAGAAAATCAAGCAAATCTTGAAAAAATTAAGCAAAATATTTTAACTGATATTTTCTCAAGATATTTTCATTTTAAGTTTGTACAGTCATTCAAGCGAATTATCCATTACACTAGTGTACAAAAAAAGCGGCATATGCGTACTTTTCGATGGGCTTAGTAGTTTCTGAGAAATTTGTTTATCATTCCAAATTTTGTTAATGAAAAATTTGTTTCTTTTATATTAAAGTTTGTTCTTTTATAAAAAGAAAAATCAATTAGCTAAAGATGTATAAATAAATAAGTTGTGAAAGGTAAAATTTTTTTGTATGAAATACGAGCAGGAAAGAATGTTACTTACGCGTCTTACACGTGCATACATACATACACACATGGCGCAATGATTCTTTTGTACGAGCATGGCGTATGAGTAACATTCTTCCCTGCTCGTATTTCATACAAAATATAATTGCACATTTTCATTTGACCATTCAAAACTTTTTTATTTATCCATCGATTTTCTTCGTAAGTAGCTTAATTTTTTGTTAATGATCAGGCTTTAAAACGAATAAAAACCAATTTTTTATTTTTAAATTTGAATTTTGTTTCATTCAGAATGCAAATTTAAAATGGAAATAAGTATCTTTTGAAAATGATCTAGAGAAAAAGTATACAGATCCAATAATCTACGACCCAAAGTTAAATTTACGTATATGGGCATTTTTTTGTGTGATTTTAACGTCCCTAAAGTGTTATCAGTAAAAAAAAATTATGCTGCGACTTTTTTTAGCAATCAGTAAAAATTCACTGCAATGCAAATGAAATTTCATTATCAATAAAAATTTACTGATTAGTGCTAGTTTTTGAGTAATCGGTAAAATTTGACTAGTAATCCAAATCAAATTTCATTATCAGATAAATTTTATTTTTACTGTAATTTTACTGGTACTGTAAAGTGCTGATTTATGGTACATACGAACTAGAGATGGGCGCGTGAGTGAGTTTGTAAGTCACGCACACTCACGTTTAGTTAAATTTTTTTCAATCACGTTTACGGTACCGACGCCCAGCTTTTTAATCACGCACGCTTTTTCACGGATATTTTTGCAGATTGAAACTTTATTTATATAAATAGAATTTCATATAAATGTTGTATAAATTACGTAATTTCCGTGATCGTGCGTGACTGAAACTTTGGCTGGCGTATGTGTGATTTTCCGTCAATCACGGAATTTTCATATATCGAGCCCTAAACGCCAAAAAGATGTAAGCGAAATTTTTTAAAATATTTAATTTTGATGCAGAAATACATCTAGATACTCTGGGAACATTTCTGCATCAAAAAGAAAAAAAAAAAAAATATGTCGCCTACATCTTTTTGGCGGTTAGGGCTCGGTATATGAAAATTACGTGATTGACGGAAAATCACACTCACGCAAGCCAAAGTTTCAGTCACGCACGATCGTGATTTTTCTCTCAAAACCACTTACGCTCACGCGTTAAAAAGCGTGACACCACGTGTCACGTAGAAGCTCACGTGTTTTGCCCATCTCTATTAGGAACTACTTTACTACTACCAAAGTGGTACAGTTCGGATACAGTTTGCGGTATAAAGCCAGCTCTCTGAAAATGTAAAATTGTTTAACAGATTCAAGAATGAATTTAATTAGGGTTGCCAACTTTCTAAGAAGTTACGATAATGGTTATTAAAAATGTATGCCTATTTATTATCACAATACGGGTATCAAAGGGAAAACGTTTGAGAAATCCTTAATATTAAGAAGTTTTGAAGAGGGAGCCACCCATCTGTAAACTAATATTCTTTGTTTTAATTAATTTTTATTATGATAGTAAGATACGACTTTTTGCATCACATATTTAAATACC